CAGCACCCGGGACTGATTCCCTAATAGCCCCAATAGTCACGTTCAGAAACAAAACCTCTATGCCCTCACACCGGAGCCTGAAGAGCAGCATGGCACATTCACTACCACTGGATCCAAAGAAAAGACAACAAAAGGAAACACAAAGCACAGACCTGACAATTGCACATGTGTTAAAGGCAAACTCTAAGAGTCTTTCTGAGCCTGCGCAGGGTAACGGGGGGGTTTGGAATGAGTTCAACACCTTAAAAATAAAATAAAATAAGACAGCCTTGATGTAGCTCTGTAGGACCAGGAGGGGAATCACAACCAAATAACAGGAAGAAAAAATAAACAGACCCTCAAACACAGTGACAACACCACCTCGTGCTGCCCCCGTTTCACAGGAGAGGACAGGAGCCCTACCACAAAGCGCAAGAATGAAGGCAGAGAAATAAAAATACCAGGAGTGGCAAAGGGAAGGGGATTCAGGATTTATTAAAGCATGTTGTGATAACTTCCAACAAGGCCTCAGAAATATAAGGTTGGAACCTCAGTCTCCCTGAGCTATCTTCTGCAGGGAGAGCCGACAGCCCTCCCCTTGCAATTTTTATTTAATCAAAACTCCCTGCAATATGTGAGAGGTGGATGGAGCCCTGCTCCCATCTCAGGCAGTGGGAGCTTGTTCAACAGGTGAGAGTTTTAATGGCACGATTTTCCTAGCATATTATTTTTGTCAAAAATTACAGCTGTATTTGTTTCTATGCTGGCGCTTCTTCAATTACTCGGGCTAATATTCTTAAGTTAGGAATTAAACAAAGCGCTTGCCCGATGAAAGCTTCTCCTAAAAATAAGAAGAGCAAGGGACAGATTTGCAGCCCTGAGCACCATCCTGGCGAAGAGGGAGGGCAAAGGGAGACGTGAGCGAGCCCTGGTTGGGGTGGCCAGGTCCAACCCCCAGCTGCTCCATCCCCACCAGGACCTGGGAAGGCTCTGAGGTGGCACCTTTATCTCTTTTCATTCACAAGACGCCTCACGGGTCGAGCAACTCTCAATCAACACGAAGAATTTACAAGCTGGGCAGCACAACGTCTAAAGCCCATGCCCACGCCGAGGGGTGATGCGGGGTTATCTCTCCGTTACAGCACCGAGGCTCTGCACCGTACTGAATTTTATCCTG